CGGCTACCTTTTCTGCTCTGAGCTCTGGCGTTCAATGTTGTGAAAGAGCAGTCCCCCTGAACTTTCCCTCCGCCGTCGACTAAATTTTCACTTGTTTTTTATCGGGGCGTAACTCTTATACTTTCTTCTTATGAGAAAATATTCGATCACTAGTGGTAGATCAAAGAGCAAATCAATCGAAACATTCGATCGAATTGTTCCCTTCACTAGTGATTCGCGCTATGGATTAGCTCGAGTCCTTCCTTTCCCCTCCCCAATCCCTCAATTAAGTCCAATAAGCGTTTGTCTATCACGGAGCTATTCATCCGGGGTGCACCAGCTGTTTCAAAGCGCTCAAAAATATGATTAAGAGCTGGTAAAAAATGGATATACTGGATATACCGATTACGGCTTCTAACCCATATCCTCCCATGTTTTATCGGCCACTGTTCAGTGAGACCTCCGGTCCTTTGATAAGCCCATGAAATAACAATACATGTTTATGGTCATCAGATAGGGACCCGACGGAAAGATTTAGGTGAGTCGTGGACGACTCTTCGCATAGGGCCGAAGACTGCGCGAAAGTCCAACCTTCTTGAAGTGCCTGATTGCTTGTCAAATCTGTTCTAATAACTTTGTTTTATTTTCCACAAGCCTGATATTAAATGCTACTTTCTCATCCAATGTGCCACTCATTTGCTATTTTTAAACTTAACAACATCGTTTTTCCTCCATAACCTCTGAAATCTGGTCGATGAACGCTGCTTCACACATGTAGTCTGTTCCCAAGACATGACGGATATGCTTACACAGGGCTCGCGAAAGTCCCATGGTCCCTCTTACACGGTCCCGAATAAGCTACGTTGATACTGGTTTAACCTATATAAACTACAAAACTTGGACAATGGGGGCTAGCCAGGTGCCCCGCACACTTAGTACAGAGATCACGATGATCAGGCTCGAAACTTGTCCAGCGCATCCGGGCTAGTCATCTCCAATATCGATTTACTCGAGCTACACTCGTACCTAAGAGTAATAAGCGTTGTCTTGAATATCAAATAAGTCCACAAATCGTATTGAAAGCGGGATTTGCTTCTTCGATACAACACCTATTTTGGGAGCAAATGAAGCCTCACAAGCTCCAGTTTTTGTCTCTTCATCTTGCAAATGTAAGAAATTGTTTCTCATTCCAACAATACACATTTCATCTCTGTTTCAATTTCGCTACCAAAAGCAAAAGGATTACTCGAGAAAATTCGGGATCATTAAAAAAGTAGGCTGCTGGCAATGTTAATCAAGCGAATTAACGCCGAAAAATATGCCAGCAAGGCGGGCGAGAACGAACATGACTGACATCCTCTCACTGAACAGACCCATAATATGACGCTACGGTGTTTCTAGGGGCTGAAATTTGATATACATCTTTAATAAAGGATAAAAACTCTGGGCGTTGATCGATCCCATCGAAGGGATGTGCCCTGCACTCGCATCTCCGTTCAGGATCGTAGTGGTGTACTGAATGGGTGTGTGGCCTGCCCAATGATTTGCAGGTTATCCTCTCAGACGGGTCTGGAACCAATCAGCCGATTTCGAAGGGATGCAAACCTCGGTTGGTCCAGGCGGATCTTGATCCAGGATTCGAACCTGTGACCATGCGTATGTGATAGGGTGCCACTTGCCACTACACCACCTTCGCCTTACATATATAATTTGATAAATAGCATTACTTGTGTAGAGTTATATACAGTAGAGTGAAAACTCCATCGAAGGGCGACGGCCATGTTCGGCTGTTTCCGTGCATCGGGCTGCCCTTGATAGCGGAAGGGGAAAAAGCATATTTGCTAGGATGCTTGATTGCAACTTGCAAGCTACCCATGGCCTCAGTAGTCCACATTGCTCTCCTATGACTTACCTGGAATGTGAAAAAGATAGGTATCTATGAAAAAGACGAACACTGTTGGCTCCCCAACGTTTGGCTGTGATAGGTAGTAGATAGAGATAAAAGGGTAAGTAAAGTATGACATTTTGATGTGTGAACATCCGTAGTGGGGACCATCCTTGTTCTGGTCTCCCTGTTCTAGTTTCTCACCAATACTTGAAGTCACCGTGGAATTGATCAGCCCACTCAATCGTCTCATTTCCGAGGCTCAGATCTCCGTTCGCCACTAACTATACATGTTATCACTCATTGATTAGTCTCTGTTTAATAGTTCTTATCATCTGTGTAGCAGCTGGAAAAATGAGACGTAGCCACCCCAATCATAAGTGCAGTAGCGGTTGAGAGGAATTCATGATTTCTACTACAAGTACTTAGTCTGTCAGCTTCATCCTGACCACTCAGTTGCGTCTCCTAACGTCCTCAAAGTGTGACCGACGGTTGTTTGAGCGGTGGCCACATACAATACGTGCTAAGTGCGACAAATTCTTTCTTCGACATCGCTCTTGCCATATGTTCGATTCATGACGCAACAACTTTTGTAGTGTAAACCTTGTTTCTCAGAAATATGGCTGTAATTATTGCTTGGAATTACTCAGCACGATAAAAAA